TAAACCTTTATTTCTTGATGCTATATTCTTTGTGAATGTTTCTAGAGGTGCGTGATTTAAGTCAGTGATGTTCTTTTTTAAGACCGTTTTGTTTTGTATTGTTTGTGGTTAATCCCTGAGATCATTACCCTCTTCAGAGAAGAGTAAACATGGACAAGACTGAAACACTGCCTTGCTCCAGCAGGTTGGGGGTTGCTTGCCCCCACTCTCCCCACTAATGTCTCGAGTGTGTAAACTCAAAATGACCGCAGCAGCTCTATCTCCCCTTCCACCTGCGTTTGGTAGTCTCACGCTGCTTCCCCCACCCCGGGGAGGTCAATGGCAATGGGCAGGCGAAGGAAGGAAATGAGGTCCAGGCTGGTTGGTCTTTGTTGCAGTTTATTCCAATCCTTTCTCCATTCATTCCTGTCTCTCTCCTCTGCCTCCTCTGCTACTTCATTCTCCTCTTCCATCCCCCTTCATTCTCCTTTTGGCTCTGAAATCTGGATCTGAATTCTCTTTCTCCTTCTCCTTCTGGAGTCTGGATCCTGATCCCCCAGCCCATTCTTACAGTCTAGTTAAATCCCAAAGCATGGGGGTTGGGGTAACAATTACACATAGGTGTGGTCACAGTCAATAGGGGTAAAGTTCTTTCCCTCAGGGAAAGCCCCTCCTAGGACAGATACTCTCTCAGCAGGATGACCCACCCTAGAACTGAATCCCCTGGGTGTGTTTCTCCTCTCTTTGTCCAACAAACATATAAGCATACATAATATAAATCATTTTGTATAGATACAGTAAGAAATACCTTAAACTTATAGAATTCCTCTACTAGGGCCATCTCAATCTCAGACTACAGTGCTCAGTCCAGATAGTCTTTCCTATCCCTAGCAGGGTCCTAGTCTCATTGTTACTTTTGGATCGTGACAGCATTTGTCTATGATCAAGCTCTTAACTTACAGTTAAGAATCGTGGCACCTTGGCCTGGCCCATTTCGATGCCAGGGTAGCTCACCACTTGCCCTGGATCTGTTCAGTCCCTCGTCGGGACCCTGCTTTTGGAATGTTAGGAACCAAGGGCAACTGAGGCTTAAGTCGAGAAAGCAGATGCCGTGAGTGAATAATATTCAAAGCCAATTAAATCCTAAATTACAAAGCATAATATAAACTGTCTTCCTGTATCTATACAAAAAGGACATTGCTTTAAAGTAAAGTATTCATAAGACATAAGGAGAGGAGAAAGGCAATATTAACTTACAATACAAGTTCAGTGTCCTAGAAGGATCTGACCTTACAAATTAACAGAGTCTGATTAGGGGAAAAGCTGATTAACTGAGTGGGGAGGAGATCATAGGGAAGAGGTTACAGATAAACACAATGGAATGGATGTGCCTCAGGAGCACTGTAATAAACATAGTTCCTTGTGGCAAGGGAGGAAGGACAAACCAATGACATCCTACATGGAGGACTGCCATCCTTGTGGCACCTCTTATTTTTAAGATGAGTTCATTCATAAATGCTTGTCTGTTAAAATCCCATAGACATTTTCTTTGGTTTGAGAATGTATTCTGCTTACTTTCCATTTAACGTGACACATTTCTTACTTCTAAAAGATGCTTTCCTACTGAAGTCCAGTTCTCTTGCTCTGCGTTTCTTTTGCCATGGGCATTTGGTCTTTCCCTGTTGTATTTTATCATATCCTGCATTATAAAAGATGGTTCTGTGTCTGTCCCTTCCCCTCTGACCGACTTCACTCAGCATGCGACTCTCAGGATTCATCCACAGGGCAGCAAATTGTATGACTTAATCTTTTCTTATGGCTGAGTAGTATTCCTTTGTGTAGATATAACAGTTTCTTTATCCTCTCTTTATTGGACACTGAGATACTGAGATGTTGGGCATGAAATCTATCATTGATAGCTCTGTCAGTCACAGTGCCTCTCTGTCAGTCACAGTGCCTAAACTTTTCAAAGTGCCTGTGTAGAGGTGGGTTGGTTGGCTGAGGAAAGTGCACCCTGGTAAAGGGATTGGTGTTTTGTGGGAACAGTATGTGCCTGAAACCCAAGCGTGAATAATTTGGTAATTCGTGGTAACTTCAATTTTTTTAAAAAAAGGAGGGGCGGGGAGAAGCAGCTTTCCTTTTGTCAACCAAGGAATGTATTTGTATATTTAACTGGCAGAGGTTAGTGGTTCAGACTGTTAGTGGTCAGTCTGAACCACTGTCCTGACTGTAAAATAAATTTACAAGAGAAAGCCCCCCACATTTTCTAGGCTTATGCGGATGCTACTTTCATACATGACAGCTTTTCTTTTTTTTTCTTTTTTTTTTCTTTTTTTTTTTCCCTTTATTGTATTTTATTTTTTTTTAAAGTTGTAGATTTACAATTTTTTGTGCTTTGGTTTCAATTATACAATGATCAGATACCCATCCCTCCACCAGTGCCCATTTTCCACCACCATGGATAATATCCCTCCCACCCCCATCCCCCCATCCCCCCTGTCTCTGTGGCAGGGCAATCCCCTGTGTTCTCTCTCTCCTTTTGGGTGTTGTGGTCTGCAAAAGAGGCATTGAGTGGCAAACATGTTCAGTCCATAGTCTACTTTCGACATGCATCTCCCCTCCTGGGAGGATCCTCCAAACATCCTTTATTTGGTGCTCCCTTCTCTATCTGAACTGCCCTTTCCTCTAGGATACCCGGCTGGCCTCTAAGTTATGGAGTAATCCTCCTGGTGCTGATCTCAGCTATTCTTGGGTATTAATCTCATACTTTGTTACTTTATATCCCCCAGATGAATGCAATCTTTCTATGTCTATCCCTCTCTTTCTGACTCATTTCGCTTAGCATGATACTTTCCATATTGTACCACTTGTATGTAAATTTCATGACTTCATCTTTTCTAAGAGCTACATAGTACTCCATTGTGTAGATGTACCAAAGTTTCTTTAACCAGTCATCTGTTCTTGGGCACTCAGGTTTTTCCAGTTTCTGGCTATTGTAAAGAGTGCTGCAATGAACAAACAAGTGCAGATGACATGACAGCTTTTCTAAACATGGTAAATCACCAAACTTAGCACCGGTGGTACTTGTTGCTGGTGGTTAGGGCCTGAACATTCTTCCCCCTCCCTTCCCTGAGGGCCTGTCTGATGCATTCTCGGCTGTGCTGTGTCGGGTTCGGGTGGAGGGGAGTCACATGCACCGTGACCCCGGGGCTCAGTCTCACACCTGCACCATAGACTTACTGCCTCTGAGCCACGGCCCTTATGCTCTGCGTTTATGTTCTTTTACACAGAGCCAACAGATTCCAACTTCCTGTCTTTTACACAGAGCCAACAGATTCCAACTTGCTGTCACCTTCTAAAAGGTTTGGGATCTTTTCGGCTCTCAGAAAAAGCCATCCTTGTCCCCCTTACCCCACTCTAGGTTTTTTTTTTTTAATGTTTCTTTTGACAATTTTTATTTCTTCTTTGAGGAAGTTTCTGTTCATAACTTCTCCCCATTTTTATTAGTGAAGCACCATGACATACAGTTGTAGACTTATAAATTTTTGTGCTTGGGTTTTAGTTATACAATGATCCAGTACCCATCCCTCCATCAGTGCCCATTCTCCATCATTTACTTTTTTTTTTCCTTGTTTTTCTTACACAGCCCTTTGTCTGAAGCAGAGGCTCTCAAACTTACTTGGTTGACTTTACCCTTTTGATTTGTTTTTGTTTTGTTTTTGGTGTGGGGGGGGGGGCACACTAGGCGATATGCCAGGTCTCTTCTGATTCTGCTCTGAGGGGTCACCCCTCATGGGTTTCAGAAATCATATGGTGTGCCAGGTGCCGGGGTTGAACCCACCTCAGGTGTGCAAGGCAGGTGTTTCACCTGCTGTACTATTTCCCTGGCCTCAGAAGAGAACTTCCTCATCAATCCCTTGGTGGGGAATTCGATCTGTCTTGGTCTTTTTGCCGCTTCCCTAATTGTATTCTTTCTTGTAAGATCCAGTTGTATCTCTTAGGCATACTCCATCTTCTTTCATAAACTTCTCTCTCCATCTCTGAGAAACACCCAGAATATCACTAGGATCTGAACATAGAGTTAGGGTAGGGTGACAGAAACACCCAGAATATCACTAGGATCTGAACATAGAGTTAGGGTAGGGTAAAGCACTTCAAGCTTATCTAAGACAAAAAACAGTAAATGAGCTGGATCCATGTGGGACTTTTTTTAAGCTGTTTTTTGCTTTACATAGCAAAGGGCAAAATAAATAAATCCTTAACAAGGGGTCCTAAGAGTACCAAATTAAATTAAAAATGATTTAGGTTGTTGGGCATTCTCCAGATAGTTACCACAAATATTAATATAATAATATCAGTTTCAGTCATAAATTATCTCCGTGGATCTCCTGAGCCCTTTCCTAGAGAGAGATTATGGGCAATAATGCTGCCTACTAAACAGAAAATAGAATTTTTGTTTTGTTTTGCCTTTTCTGTTTTGGGAACACACCTGCTGTGCTCAGGGATCTCCCCTGGTGGTGCTCTGGGGACCATATGTACCACTTGGTGATCGAATCTAGGCAAAGCAAGTACCTTACCTGCTGTACTGTCTTTAGAGCACAGAGATGAAATTTTTAACTCTTAGAATATCCAGTGTAAGGAAAGAATGTTGAAGATTATGGCTAGAATGTCTGTCTTGCTGAGAAATGACAATGGAAAGAGAGGTGACTGGCTTTTCTCTCCTCTTGATTATTGCTTGTACCCCAGAACTTGCTAGAGATTCATCTGCATGTTCCTTTTCACCAACATTTATCTCACCCAATTTTTTCCTTCTGTTGATTTATATGTGCCCCTGAAAAAATGATTCCTACCATTTGATAAGTAATTTTAAGTAAGGTAACTATGGCACAATTTAACTCATGAGATTTGAGTTAAATGATAGTAAGAAAGATATTTGTAACTTTGGGAAAGGTACTATGTAATGTATCTAAGAAGACTAACATAATTTCTTTCTACTAATGTGTCATTTTTTAAAAATTTAGGGATAGAAGGACAATCTGTGGAAGTTTCCAATACTGTGGACATTCGGAAAAAATCTAACTATGAAATTGCAATGAAAATTTCTTCTCGAATAAACAGTCAAAACAGATTTTATACTGACCTAAATGGATACCAGGTAATTCTTCTTTAAAATGTCTATGCCATGGGTATATTAGTACTTAATCATTATGTATGGTGATGGTCCAATTTATTTTGGGCCCTTTTAAAAATATACTTAATGTTGGAGAATGCTTCTAAAATAAAGTTCATTTTTAATAGATAGTTGTAGATTCTGTGTTAAACTAGATTTCCAAAGTTAGAACAAATAGTTGGAAGACTATTTTTTAGATCTATAAAGTTTATATTTTGGAGGTATGAACACGCAAAATGTTTGTTTTACTGAAGGAAGATTTGGTGGCATTTTTCATGTTAAACATTTTGATGCCAAAATATATACAAAACTATGTAATAGAGGGACCAGAGCAAATATTACAGCAGGTAGGGCATTCGCCTTCCATGTGTCCGACAGAGGTTGGACCCCTGGCATCCCATATCGTCCCCTGAGCAGTGCCAGGAGTAAACCCTGAGTGCAGAGCCAGGAGTAACCCCTGAGCATCATGAGGTATAACCCAAAAATCCAAAAAAAGACCCAGAAATGCATTAAATAATAGAATCATAATCAAGGTTTAATAATGGATCATATCTTTTTTTCCTCATAATAAACTCATGCATATTGAACCTGTTCCATAAATCTTTTCCAATGTATAACAGTTTCTAGACTCTAGTTTCAAGAATACTTCTCCCCTGCTTTTATTAGTAAATGCGTATACCTTTTTACATACTTAGATATGTACATAATACATACATATGAAAATACATATGTGTTTAAAATTTACAAAGTTAAAGATCTGGTGTTTCTCTTCAATTTATGTATCAGTTGCATTCTATATAGCAAGCAGAAAGGCCTGGAAGACCCTCAAGCTGGGGTTCCTAAGCGCCAGCACCTCTCAGAAGCCTGCCTTCTTGAAGCAGCAGGCAGAGCGTACTCCATTGGCACCGTGGCCCTCCCTGCAGCCTTGGAGCCAGTGTTCTGCCCACTGGGGAAGCTCTGGCTGGTTTGCATAAAGCAGAAGTTTTAGGGGGGGCAGAGAAAGCACAGGACAAGGTCACTCAGGAGGAGGAGACAAAGCTCTTTCTCTCAGGGGAAGGCAGTATAGAGGAACTTCAGCATGTGGCATCCTTCAGTGTGACTCCAAAACTCCCTTCCGATTGCTTGAGACCCCCACTCATACCCCATGCTCTCAGTCTGGCGTCAGGGCTAGGGATAGTGTGGCCTGAACGGCTCTATTCATGAGATGTCCAGGTGTCTGGGACTGGCTGGACTTACATGGACCTATTTTTTTCCCCTGTCACCCCAAAAGAAATATTTGTTTAGAAATGCAGATATGTATATATTTAACCAAAACTTTCACCAGTTTGAAGTCATAAAAAGAAAATTCATAATTTTTTAACTGTCCTCTAATTTCATAAACATTCTTTTGACTATTACCTAATTTTTATATTCAGACTATATATGTGTGACAACATGTCTTTGAAATAATATATTAAGATATTAGCATGTTTTTGAGACATTCGTATCTTGGAAATTTTTGATGATGAATAGAAATAATTTCAGCACGAATGCTTTAGTTCTTTTCAACTGGGATGAGTGGAAGGGATTGTGATAATTTCCTGGAAAAGTTAAATTTAAACCTTTTTCAAAGCAGAAAATTTGCAGTATGCATTTTGAATTAACATGTTAACTTACTACAGCTGTTTGGTTTTTAAATGAAGTCCCATTTTATGGTGATTCATTTTCCTTATATACAAAAGAAATGCTCTCTTAAAATTGACAGAAGCAATTATTCCCATGTGTGGGTGTATACATGAATGAAAAAAAAGTTTTAGTAAAAGTTAATAAAAATGTGAATTTCTTTTCAAGGACTGAGCATTTGAATAAATAAAATATTATTTTAAAACTTATAACCTAAATATTTCTGCTTTTTAAAATGGGTCATTATTTTGAGCTTTGGAAAGAGTGGGACTTGGCGCAAAACCGGAAATCGAGTCCCACAGAAGCGGGAGGGTGTGTGTGAGTGACTGTGAGACAGCTGTGACCATTTTAAATGTCATTTTGAAATAGAATAAGAACTGAACTTGCCTTGGACCCTCAGTCCAATCGAGAACCTAGCCTAGACACTCCTAGCAGATGGCACTCTGGGGAGAACACTGCCCAGCCTGCACATACTAAGAGCACACCGATGGCCACAGAGTCCACGGCCCCCACAGCAGGGGACAGATCCTGGCCTTAGTGCTGCTGCTTTGTGGCCTTAATAAGGGGAAGTCATGAGCGTCTCTACTAGCATGCCCTGTGCCACCTCTGTGTAGACCCCAATCACACATGCACAGGCCACGCCTGGTCAGTACCCAGAGACAGGTACAGTCTTCACTAGCAAGAGCCAGGAAGTTTTCAAGTGGAATGTCTGCTTTGGATCCTGGACTTGAGTGCCTCACCCCCCACCCAGGCTTCCTTTTGTCGAGGGGTTGTCAGCCATGACACTATCTTGTCCTGCCCCCTTACTAAGGCCCATCCACACACAGGACCCTCCCTTAGTTATCTTGGTTGGAGAAGAAGATTTCTGACCTCTTACAAATGTTTGTCTCTTGATAGCCAAAGGATTTGGATAGTTACCATTTTTCTTATATAAGAATATGAGTTAAGAGGGCAGAGAGTACAGCAGGTGAGGCGTTTACCTTGCAAGAGAGATTGATCCCAGTTTGATCCTCAACACCACAAGTGTTCCCCAAAGTACCTCCAGAATGATCCTGAGCACAGAGTCAGGAGTAAATCCTGAGCACAGCCCGTTGTAACCCCAAACAAAAAGGGGGAGGATATGAATTCATTAAAGTGGGGGTATCAGGATTGGAAAGGAGAAAAAGAGAATTCTTCCAACTATCTTTTGTATCCTAACCATTTTATAGATCTTTCTTCACCAGTTTCCTAATTTCCTAGCACTGTCATATAATTACCACCAAAAAATGAGTAGCTGAAAGCAGATATTTATTCCTTTCAGTGCTAGGTACTAGAAATCCTTACCAAGATGTTGACTGAGGCCCCATTCTCTCCAAAGGAAATACCCTTTCTTGCTTCTTCCATGTCTCAGGAAGTGGGGGAGGTTCTCAGTCTGTCTTGTTGACTTGTCACTCACTCGAGCCTATCTGTTGCCACGTAGTGGCTCCGTGTTTCTGTGTATCCCCGTGTTTTTCCTCTGCCTCTGGGTTAGAGCCCACCCTCGTTCACTGTTGGTCAGGCCTATCTCCAGAGACTTTCTTTCAGGTTGCATTTACTGCTGAATTTGGGGCTGGAGGAAAGCTTCTGTGCTGTCCAGCCAGTAAGCTGCAGCAGATTCTCTAGAACTATTCTGAACATTAGAGATTTTATTTGTGAAAATACCCAGTAGTGTGCCTGTGTTAATGTGTCCTCAAGACAGGAAGTATATTATCTGAATTTTGTCCGTGTCTTCTTGAGTTCCATGTCCGACTTTCATGAGTTTGAAAAGAGAGATGGCTTTTGGCTTTTATATGGTAAAGTAAGATTCCTTTTTTCAAAAACATTGATTTTGGGGTCATACTCAGCGGTGCTCAAGGGTTACTTCTAGCAGTGCATGGGAGACCAGCTGGATGCTGGGAATTGAACCTGAGTCAGCCCCATGCAAGGCCAATGCCCTACCCGCTTTACCATCACTCCAGCCCCACAAGTAAGATTCTTGGCAGGGTGATGATGTCTCTTGCTGAGGTGAATGTTCTCTCTCACTGAGACTAGTGTTGTATCCTGCACGTCTCTCTCCAGAAAGAAAAGTAGAGGTATATGCCATGTGTACAGGTTCCTAAGCAAGAAAATTCAGAAACTTCCTATATTGAAACTAGACAGAAGAAGTAAGCATTGAATAGATAGAAATATAAATATGCATTTGATTATTATAATGTTAGAGGATTTAGGGGGATATCTTTAGTATTTATTAAAACTGATTTAAGAATTATAAGAGATAGTTCTTGAAAGGGGATAGAGAGCTATTATACTTAGGATTCATTACAAAAGCAGTATGTTAGATTTAGATGAGAAATGAATACTTAATACTTTTATAATTTGTTTTATGCAAATATTGAAGAGCTAGAAGACTTGCGAAACATTTTTATTCTGAATTTAAATGGGAATGCCTATATTAAAAAGCTGGACAGGTTCTACCTTTCTCACTAAAAATTATTTTCTAAGATTCTTGTGATTGTTGTTCAGATTGTTTTGAAGAATTTCAATTTTTAAGTGCTTTCCTTGAACAAGTTGTAGTTGTTGGAAAGAAAGTCATCTGGGGGTCAGTACCAACTTTTTAAAGTCCATATGTAAATGTCACTGGTTCTTTTCTAAGAGAATTGTTTGTTACAGATTCAGCCTAGAATGACATTGAGCAAGTTGCCTCTTCAAGCCAACGTGTACCCCATGACCACAATGGCCTACATCCAGGATGCCGAGCACCGCCTGACGCTGCACTCCGCCCAGTCTCTCGGTGTCTCCAGTTTGACAAGTGGTGCGTATCGTGTAGGCTCTTGTAGCTGCTCAGCATTCCCCAGTCTATACCTTTTCTCTCAGTTCTGTCTGTTCTCATGACCAGTCATCAGCATTCTTCTTCAGAATTAATTTGGGGTTTTGTGAGAACAACCTGAAGACCTGTTTAGTCTTTAGATGAAGAACTGAGGATGTACCAAGTCTTAGCACAGTTGTCTTAAGGAGCTCTCTCTCAGCCAGAGAAGTCGGTTATTATGGACAGACATGGGCACTGGGCTTCTAAAGGTTACAAGAAGTCACCTAAGTTTGCAGAGGCGGAAGCTGACAACTCAGACCTATACGCTTCTCTGAATCACTGTCTTCCCCAGGCAGCAGCACTGGTGCAGGAAAGGAGGTAGCCATGATTCAGATTGGGGAAGAGACCAGCGTGACTTAAGGGTTTCTGTGGAGACACTGTTGGCAGACACTGTTCAGTTTCTCTTAACACTTCATGCTGGGAAACTCTTTTCCTTTTCGATACACATGCTTTATCATCATGTGCATGTCACTGATTTACCTCCTTTCTTTACATTGGTTAGATTATGCCTTAAGGACAGACACACACACACACACACACACACACACACACACACACACACACACACACTATACTATACTTACAATTATAAAAAGAGCAAATTGCTACTAAGCTTTCTTCATGGCCTTCACTGGACAGGAATGAGTTCATGCCATAAAGACCTAAACAGCATTGTAAGAGTAAAGATGGCCGCAGTTAGGCCAGCAGGGGTGTTGAACTGAGCCACTGGGAAGCCTGTGCCTGTGTCTGTGGGACTCTGCTCCCTGCGCCAGTTCAGTGACTGGATGCAGGGCCCCAAGCTGCCAAAGTCCTGAGTGGTTTTGGTTTCTTTTTTTGGCATGGGTGGGATGTGGGTACTCGCAGGTTTATCTCAAGAGGTTCCAGGCCCCCCAGTGAGTCTCGGCCAATCATCCATCGGATTGGCGCAAGAACCCAGGGATGCAATGATGTTATTCAAGCCTGCAGTTAACAGTACACTCCAGCAGTTCTGGGGGCCTCCAGGGCTCTGCGACAGTGCTCAGGGGGACCCATGGCTCTGGGAATTGAACCGAGGTTGGGCTTATGCCAGGCAGGTACCCTGTCCCTGGCCTCAAAGTTTTCAGTCTTTAAAGAGGATATCAGAAGTCTGGGATTTTTTAAAATTATGCCAACACACACTGAACAATGAAATTGTTTAGTCATAAGTGTTGGCATAATTTTAAAAAATAAAAACATCTTTATGACAGGTAAGACACTTCAACCACCCATTTGTAAATGCTGCCTTAAACTCAAAAATAGGGTCTAGATTTAGACTCTGATAGATAGGGGCTTTGATATTAGGACTGAAGCAGTCATGATCCCATCCACTTTCCTCCCAGCCCTGATAAAACTGAGCTGGGGAAGAGGATTTTGTTGTGGGCCATGACCAGGTGCTATAGACCTAGGTGCCCTGGTGTTTGGATGCCATAAACCTCCAGGTGCCCTGGTGTTTGAATGTGTTAGAGCCCCAGGTGACCTGGTATTTGAATGCCATAGACCCTCAGGTGCCCTGGTATTTGAATGCCATAGACCCCCAGGTGCCCTGGTATTTGAATGCCATAGACCCCCCAGGTGCCGTGGTGTTTGAATTCCGACAGAATATGAAGGCAGTTAGCACATAGTCAGGAAATTATTGAGTGTCATATACTATATGGTGTAACATTTGGAAATAGGGAGAAGAGTTAGACTTTCCAAGGGATTGTTATATGATTTTCATGTCAGGTGATCAAAATCTAAATAATATTTCCCCAGCGACAATTCCAGGGTGCAGGGGGTGAGTTATAGGCCTTTGTCTTCTAAAATTAGAGTTAATAACAATGAAAGTTCTAACAGTCACTGGTAATTTTATGACTGAAACTAGACCCAGGAGGAAAGAAATTGTTTGACTGTCAGCATAATAATTACTAAAATTATCATATATGTTTTGTTATGGCTAGTGATCATCAACATAATTATGAATGAATTGGTGAATGAAAAAATGCATGGATGAATAGACATGTTTGAAGTATGTTTTCAACTGTGTTTAGTGTAATCTTAAATATAAAGATAGGGTTTTTTAAAATAAATTGATTTAGTATGTGATCTCTTACCCTAACTTCAGCTTACAGTTCAGACTAGACCTATGCAATTATTGCAGAGCAGAAAGGAACCAGATACGTCTTTGTGACCTAATGGCAAAGAGCATTGCTGATCCCACTAACTTAACATCTGGCAGAAAAGGCAGTCTTGAGTGTGGGGGCCCCACCCCAAAATTCTTAGCAAAGAACCTGTATTTAATTTCACATCTCTTTAGATCATACCCATCTGAATTTTTCTTTTGATTCCATGCATGCCATGTATTTCCCAATTAGCCTTATAAACGTTTTGAAATTCCAAGAGCTGCCTCTGGAAACTTGGGAGAGTTAATGTACAATTTTGATTAAATTCTTGTTTAAGTTCCACTGTAATTCTCATCTATCCTATTACATTTCAAAATTACTTAACTGACCTTACTAGAGATTAATAAAGAAGAGCAGAAATGGAGTCTTCTATTTTGTATGTTTTAAGAATTTCTGAATTCATTGGGTTGTTTTTAGGTGTTCTGAATGCAAAATCCACACTGCGTGTGTAGATCAGGTGGCTCAGGGCAAAATTCCCTCCTAGTGTGGAAGCAAGACTCTAGTGGGCTTGTAGGCGAGGGGTCTCACAGGGTGTTTGTACTAAATAACTCTGGCCGGTTTGGTTTTTGTTTGTTAGGTCAGATTGAAGTGATCATGGATCGAAGACTGATGCAGGACGATAACCGTGGCCTTGAACAAGGGGTCCTTGATAACAAGATCACAGAAAGTTTGTTTCGAATTCTACTTGAAAAGAGAACTGCTGTGAATATGGTATGAAAAGATTGGGGATTCAGATAATCTGATACTGGTCTTTGCCTTTCAGAATTTAACACTGGGACTTTATGCTTTAATTTTTATAATGTTTAGATAAAATTTTCCAGTGTTGAGATACCTTTTAATATATTTGTCATATATTTAATATATTTAATATATCACTAAAGAGAACTCAGGCTATATATCTTATAAGATTAACATGCAGGTCATTCTTATTTAGTTATTTACTTAGTCATTTATTTATTGCATCATCATGAGTTAGAGCATTACAAAATTATATAAGATTATGTTTCAGTCAAACAATGTTCCAACACCCATCCCTTCACCAGTGTAATTCCCCAACACCAGTGTCTCCAACTTCCTTCTCACCTCTTCAATTCCCCTTGTACCCCTGCCTGCCTTTGTGGCAAACACCTTTTTTCTCTCTCTCTTTCTCATTTTAGGCATTATGGTTTGCGATATAGATGCTGAAAGTTTGTCATGTACATCCCTTTACCGCATGCAGATCATTTTATGTATGCTAGTTACATAGACATAAGATAATCTTCAGGAAGTAGTTGTGGTGAAATTTCCCAAAAATATTTTGAGAGAAACGAGAGCTAAAGAATTGGGCTTAATAAGAGTTAAAGGACAAAGTGTATTTATAAAGTAAATGAAGCAAATTTAGGAGATTAGATTTGATCAGTAACTTTTGAAAATAGACTCACTGTCTGTCTTACTTGATTTTCATTCATCAAGTAAAAATTCATCATTCCGCAGTAAATAGCCTGGCAGAAGCCCGGCTGCTCTCAACTCTACAGATGGTTTCCTCTGGCTGTAGCCCCCAGTTGGCCCCGACCTAACCCTCAGCCCTGCTCAAGACCCTTTTCCTGACTCCACTCCCCTGTTCTTGACCCTTTCAAGTCTTTTCATCTTCTGAGAGAGCCAAGCGTGTGCTTGGTCTTTCCTGTTTTAGAAGCCCGTCACCTGCTCCCCTTCTCTTTCCCTTCTGTGTCAGTAGAAACCTTTGCCTTCCTTTCCTCTGGACCAGTCCATCCCTGGATTCTAGAACTCAGCTGCTTCATGGTTCTCAGCAACCATGTGGTGCTTGCAGTCAAACGAACGAGGTCAAACCCTGATCCAGGTCAGCATCATGCCCCCTGACCGCTGTACCCTGCCCTGCCTGTTACATGGTTACAGCTGGATGACATAGATCATCATCATTGTCTGCTCCCTCATTCCCTCTCTGGGGACGCTATAATGACACTAACTGAGCTTCTCCCTGCCTCCTGCCCCTCCCCGCCCCCAGCCCCTAGAGCTGGTATTTCCCTATGGTCTGGTCCTTTGTGTTTCTTTTCATTTGTTAAGTGTTCAGTTAAACACTGTTTCTTTTTGTTCCTTAAAATAAAGTGCAAATGAAGGCGCCACTCAGTGGGCACTTCCTGTGTGTGAGCTGCCAGTGATAGCACAGCTGTAGGGCCAGTAGGGCGTTTGCCTTGCACGCAGCCAACATGGCAGACCCAAGTTCGATTCCTCCGCCCCTCTCGCAGAGTCCAGCAAACTACCGAGAGTATCTCGCCCGCACGGCAGAGCCTGGCAAGCCACCCGTAATGTATTCGATATGCCAAACACAGTAACAACAAAGTCTCCAATGGAGACGTTACTGGGCCCGCTCGAGCAAATCTATGATCAATGGGAGGGCCCACTATGAGTAACATAGGATTTTGTGGGGGTCACAAGAGCTGCTGTGCTTCCTAGAAATCTAAAATTTTAGATAATCCAGGGTCTAGCAAAATCTCTGCAGCGAGCTGTTCAGTTCGGAGATTCTTTTGTGTGTCTCTGGATCATGGCCATTAAGGAGCTTAAGTGGGTGTGACCTCCAGGGTCCTGTGATGGGGGGGGGGGAGATGGGAAGGGCCAGCCCATCCCCTATCCCATGAGGCCTCGAGTTTGCCATCACTAATCCAGTACCTGGGCTTTTCCTTGGGTTCTGGAAGTTGGCAGCCGCCAGGATTCCTAGGGGGCAGATGGAGGGACAATGCCTGCTCTGTGTGAGGGACCCTGGTGAAATTGACCTGGTGCAAGGTCCAAAGGCATCTCTGTGGTGAGCTGCTCGGTTCTGAGATTTTTTTTGTGTGTCTATTTTTTATTTTTTGGTTTGAGGGGCTACTCCTGACTCTGCATTCAGGGATCACTCCTGGTGTGCTTGGGGATCATATCGGGTGCTGGTGATCGAATCCAGGTCAGCTGCATGCAAGGAAGCACCCTACCTGCTTTTCTGTTACTATCAGTTTAGTAATTTTCACGCACACTGGAACCATAAAACGTTAACACAGTTGTAACCACATGTCTAATTTAAAATGTAAAAATATTCCCTTGGAGAGTTCCATGTCCCAATCTTCCTGGGAGCCTCTCTACCTTTGGGACACTGCTTTTCCTCTCTGTTCTTTATTCAGCCATTAAGTACCAGAACCCTTCAGCCTTGGCAGGAGCCTTGTTCTCTGGGTATTTGAGGTTTTCCCTCTGTGGTTCTTCTGTTTACAGGCCGAGTGTCCACCTACATGCAGGTACAAATGCCCAAGGTATTTTTCCCCTCTGTCTACCACACCTGCCTGTCCCCTGACTTCCAGCTCATCATATCCAAAATTATTCTCACAACCTCAAACCTGATCTCTCTGTGACAAGCTTTCCCTGCCCGACCCCCAGAAATAGTCCTTCCTCACCAGTAATCACCAGCGTTTGCCCAAATTGTTCAAATCAGGAAACGTCTTTCCATTCGCCTGAACTCCCAGTCCCTGTGTTTCCTGGAACTCCCCTCCCCCGTCCTTCTTGCTTTGCCTTTCTACTGCCTCTGCTGCACTCAGGAAGCTGTGCTTTGTGTTTTTTGAGCAGAGTGTGCCTCTGTGCGTCTGCCCCGAGCCTTGTCCATCTGCCACGGCTTTCCCTGTCCCTGCTCTGGGCTGTGCTTGCTCACTGCCCCCATTCTGTGCACACCTCAGCTGGAGCATCTCTGCCACTTTTTTGTCCCCCGAGGGCTTTTGGCAAGAGTTCACATCAGGGCTCACTTTCAAGTCAAGCCCCTGTGCCCTCTCAGAACTGTCCCCCTCTTCCAAGTCGGTGTGTCGTGCAGACTGTTAGTGTTAGCTATCCATATCTTTGCTTTCTGCATTGTTCTAGCAGAGGACTCTCTCAGGAGAGGTTGCAGGAATGAATCTACAAAGGCAGTACTGAATGAGCTTCTATCACTCATTGTTTCACTGTGTTTATCGCAGTTACTCTGCTACCTTCTCACCGTATGCATATTCTTTTCCCTCTGTTGGATTTCAGGGATGTGTCTACTTCATTTTCCTCTGTCCCACAGGGCCTGCCAGCCTGTGTTAGGCATTCTATAAAGTACTGGTTGATTGAAGAAAATGGCAACTGCTAATTAAAGCAAAGAATTATTCCAGTATCTAGAATCTTTTAGAGAAAAGATTTTATTACCCATTTTAGATGTCAAGATGTATGCCAGTGCTTGGAACTCATGATTTACATCAATTCCTGACAAGAGCACTTAGCTTCAGCACTCACTGTACAGGAAAACCATTGACTGAGAGCAGGCAGCTCCGTCTCTTTCTCCTCCTGAGGAAAAGAATTCTGGCTTTTATGATTTTTCTGTGTAGATAAATACTAATTTACAAAACATGCGCTAATCATGGCAATAGGAATTTTCGTGTTCAATCGATAGAACTTTCACTTAGAAGTTAATTAATGCATTTGTTCCTATTCGGAACTCCTTGGATAATAATTGATTTAAATTTGATCGCTGTTTTTATAACCCTTGCTGGCTAAATTTTTCTTTTACACAACCAAGAGTCTTAGACTTCAGTCAATAGTTTCCTTTAAATTGAAAAAATAAATAAATAAATAAATAAATAAAAATGCACCAGACAAAAGAAAATAGATTTTAATTCTAATAAAATTGATTAAAATGAATTTGATTAACGGATGTTACAGATCATTTAAATCTTCTAGAAGGAGTGTTACTTTCAAATCAGACTCATGTCTGTGGGCGAATTTTTGAGTGGGAGCCTTAGAGGAACAATACTGATGAATGCCTGGGTGCAAGTCCTGTTCTCAAAGACAGTGAGAACTGAAACTAAAGAGCCTCGCGTGTGTGTGCAGACACCAGCAGACACAGATACCCAGAGCTTCTCTAACCCATAGGAACAGTGCTTAAGTACAAACAGGGTAACAGTGAGAACCACCTCCTTGGCATTGAGCACCTGAAGATTTGTTTCGTTGACTCTTACTTCCTGCCCTCTTAGCTGTTACAGACAAGGGTATAGAAGTAGGAAATTAGATAATGCTCTGGACATATTTGGGTCTAAGAATTAGGTCATTTTACCTCTGGATACCATTACAGAACAGAGGTTGAGAGAGTTGGGTGACCACAAATGCTTGCAGGGCTTACGGAAGTGATGCATGAGGGAGGTTGGGGACTTTAAAAGCAAATGTAGGAGTTAGGAGACCAGGTCTGTGGAATACCTGAGCAATGAGATTTGCCTTTTTTAATAGTTGGCTGAAAAACAACTTTTCAATACCATGAAAGTCTCCTAAGGCATGTGTCTAGGCTGATTGCTCCTAAGAGCCTTCAGGCTTAGCTCAGCCTTGATGACGTTTAGCTCTGCACAGCAGAGTTCTGTGGTTTCATTCATTCTCTTTCTCTCTGGTTTTGTTTGTTTTGGTTAACTCATCTGACCCCTGTGAGTTTCCAATAAAAGGTACCTGGGGGTGCGTGCGGGACTCAAACATTCAGTGGCCAAGAGCCGCCTCCCCAGGCCAGATGACGGGCAACAGACAGATGAAGGACAGGGGAATGGAGAAACAGGGCCTGGGCCCCAGGCTGGTCAGTAGTCAATTTCTCTTCTCCCAGCGTAGTCCCATCTCTCCGTTATGGCACAGTTGTAGTCTATTTTGGTCTTAGTCCCAGTCTTCACAGTTCCATCATCCTAGTTTCCTCGTAGACCTCAAAGTCC